GTACAAGTACTAGAATTCATAATGAAACACCTCCTTGGGTTCCTCTTTCAGCTGCTTGCCTTTCCTTCTTAGAACAAGTACAGAATTCATAATGAAACACCTCCTTGGGTTCCTCTTTCAGCTGCTTGCCTTTCCTTCTTAGAACAAGTACAGAATTCATAATGAAACACCTCCTTGGGTTCCTCTTTCAGCTGCTTGCCTTTCCTTCTTAGTAACAAGTACAGAATTCATAATGAAACACCTCCTTGGGTTCCTCTTTCAGCTGCTTGCCTTTCCTTCTTCTTTTTTTGTTTGATTTGGCTGATCTTACTTTTTATTTTTTTCTTATCAGGGAACTCTTCGGTGGGGTTTGCCTTCTTTATCATCTCATATATTTTCAGGTTCACTACATAGCATGCCATTGGTGCAATGTTTTCATTTCCATCAAGAATATCATTGATATTTGAAAGAACATCTGAATAATGTATACCAGTTGAAAGTTGACCATTTGCTGCTCTTTTTTTTTCTTTTGCAATGAAGGCGCTGATTGCCGAACGAATCTCGCTCTTGGATGGTAGATCCAATGCAGAGGGGTATTTCATTTTCAACTTCTCAAGCATGCAACCAGAACCCTTTTTTATCACTTACATTTCCATAATCATACATTTGCTTCACGTCATCTATATAACGATGAATATACTTTTTGCCATACGTTTTTCCTTGAACAGAAAGTGCCCAACCTTTCTGAAAAGATTTGTAATGTTTTTCAGGTTCAAAAACAAAATTATTACCTAAATTACCATCCATCATTGATACGTTGAATAAATTCAAAAGATCCTCCAGCCAGTGGAATTTCAGTAGGGTCAGGAAGATCCCGGATTTACTTCCGTTACGTTATGAAAGAATCAATGCAAAAAAAAAAAGTATAGCCAATTATCTTTTTTTCCAGCTTAAATGGTCTCATGGGTCTGAGAAAAAATATGTTCTCCTGAGACGCTGTTTTATAAAGAAAACAGACTAGAAAAAGATTTAGATACCAATCATAGATGGCAGGACCAGCGCTAAATTGCAAGGAAAAAAAAGTTAAAACAAAATGTTGAAAAAATGTTTTTTCTTAGAGGGCGCTTATTTATAGGCTCAAACGTATTTTGGGGTTTTTAAAATTAAATTTCTCTTTAAACTTCGTTAAATAATATAATTTTGTACAAATAATTGAATGTTATGCTACTATTTACAGAAATAAAATCTGAAATCCAATAAAATATAAGTTCTCTGTAATTTTTTTCAATTCACAAATGTGATTTTGCCCTCACGATAGGACAAAATGGCCCCGGTAGGTAATGGGTTATTAAGTGCCCGGGCATGGGTAAGCAGTTAACGAACTCATACTGAGAAGCTGAGGATTCATGACTCGCGACAATTTGCCAGAATGCGCTCTGGACATTGTGACTGGACATGGCTCAGTTGTTTGGTAGTTGTGTCCGGACTATGAAGCTGAGGATAATAAATAATAAGTAGGTAATAAGAAAAATAAAAAGTAAACTGTTTTTTTGAATATCACAAGTTTCTTTAATTGTTCACAGTCTTAACTCTTTAAATGGGAACATTGTATTTCTTCAATCAGTATTTTTTCAGTATCAAAGTCATGCCTAACAGATAGCACATTTAATTCAAGAGCATTTATGAAGAAGTTAAGGGTTGCTTCGTTTTTCTGAATCAAGTCTAATCCAATAAGACAAGATACAGCCAAATCTTTGACGACAGCAAAACATTGGTCCACAATGCTATTTATTACTAATAATTATCCTAACGGTTATCGGTTAGTCATTCCATCAGCAAGTCCCACGTTACTTTGACTCAAAGTTTTTAGTTGAAGTGTCGGATCATTTCTCTTGATTTGTTGCCATATATTTTCATTTATTACTGATTAATCTGACCCAGTATAAATACGAACTGTTACTTTTACTAATATTCGAAGGATTTTCGTAAATTAACATACAATTATGATATTGTTACGCCTCCAGTCGTTAGTT